GGAGTTTTAGATCAGGTCCATCTCAGATTGGGTCCATGAAGTATCCTAACTCATCCAATGGTTATTTCCCCAGTTCCAGAATGTATAATTGGAATAGATATGCTCAGTAACTAGCATAATCCCAAGATTGGTTCTCTGATCTGTGGATTCAGAGATATTACAGGGAGAAAGTACAAGTGGAACCCACTAGAACCTCCTTTACCTAAGAAAACAGTAAACCAAAAGCAACATCACACTCCTGGAGGAATTTCAGAGACTAGTGATGCCATCTAGAACCTGAAACATGCAAGGATGATGATTCCCAGTACATCCTCATTCAACTCGTCTATTTAGCCTATGTAGAAAACAAAACAGATCTTGGAGAATGACAGTAGTTTATTATAAACTTAACCACTTAGTGATTCTAATTGCAGCTACTACTCTACATGTGCTTTCATTACTTAAGCAAATTAACACAGCCCCTGGTACCTGTTATGCAGGTATTGATCTGATAAACATAATACTTTTTTCTCAATAACTGTTATTATAACTACCAGAAGCACTTTGCTTTCAGCTGGCAAGGTAAGAAATACATCTTCACTGTCCTACCTCAGGAATATATTGACTTTCCAGCTCTATGTTATAATTTAGTTTGTGGAGATCTTGATCAATCTTCCCTTTCACAACACATCACAAAATTCTATTACATTGATGATGAGAAGCTGATTGGACCTAGTGAGCAATAAGTAGCAACTACTCTAGACTTCAGGGTTTCCCTAAGTGTCCCTGGGCTCCAGCTTGAAGCTCGGTAATTTTCATGCAGTTTCCTGAGGCAAAGATTTCTCCAAAAGCACTGCTGTTCCCAGCCCATTGTTTGTAAACTGGAGCCAACTTGCCATCACTCATGATCACAACAGGGCCCAATAGAAAGGGAAACATTATTATGGAAATCTGAAGGTAAACCTTCAACAGGAAAACAGTCTATTTGGACCCAAGATAAAAGGATGATTTAAGCTAGAAGGGGTTTTGGACACCATGTCCATGAGCAAAACTGTGTGTATGGGATTGTTTGTGGAGGGTGTGGAGAGAGGGTCCTTGCCAGTGCACACCTTACCCTGTAGATCTTCTGATGTACTTTACTTCCCCTTTTACTCCCCACCTTCCCCAGATACTCCCATTCCTCACTTTCGGATAAGCTAACTTGGGTGGTCCTGGGGGCAATGCCTCAAAAGCCTCAGCACAGAACTATTTTTCTAAGTTCGCCATTAAATAAAACCCAGCTCTAGAGAAGAGAACACACTCTTGACCCTAATTTAACAATAAGATAATAGTTTTAAGCAGTGACTAGGTGCCAGTAGTGTGAGCAAAACATACATGCTACTCTCCTATTAATCCTCAAAACAATCCCAGAAGCTATTTTACCAAGGGGGAAATTGAGGCCCAAGGAAGAAGAGTAACTTGCCAAAAGTCACACAGCTAGTGGGAAGCCAGCAGAGCCAGGATTTGAACACTTTTGATTCAAGTCCAGAGCTAACACTAACTATTGCAGTAACCACACTACCTCCCTGTGGAAACAGGCACCCTTCACTAGTCACTCTGTGTTCTTGGAGGGAAAACTGGGAGATGGAAGTTCCATACTACATTACAAAAGGTCACTTGGCCATGTAAGGTCTACTCAGGCCAATCAAGCCAATCCAAATGAGGAAGTAAGACTCTGTGATGTTGCAGTCTTTGGAGCCAACCAACCACAGGTGAAACCTCTCTCCCACTCACCTATTCCTTCAGTCTCACAAGCTCTCTCTGCCTGTACTCTAAGGGCCACAGCTTCTTGGCAGCTCTGTGCACTGCTGTGGACTCCCTGGGACAGGGTGGTGGGGAACTACTCCAACACCAGCAGCTCCAGGATCTGCTTCATGGCGTGCATCTCAGGCCAAAGCCACTCACGCATGGCAAAGCTCCAGGAGCCACCAAAGGGTTTCTCCAGGGACCAATGACAGAATTCACAGAAGTGCAGGTGTGAGGCCTCCACACTGGCCTTTGGTCAAGCAGGGACAGGTCCTGACTCCAGGCGCAGGGATGCCTTCAGTTTCACAATCAAGAGCCCTTTTTACTTCTGGGAGCCTGGGCCAGACACCATTATCAGACTGCTGGATTACTTTGGCCTTGAAACCAACCATGACTGCCAGCAAAGGTGCCCCATACCTCTTGCAACAATAAACAGCATGTGCAGGAGTCAGCATGCTGGAGGCTCCATGTACCAACCCATAAGCGCAACTGGAGATCCAGCAGAGCTGTTTCTAATACCTTGGCTTCTGTGGGTTCAAGAAGGTGGTGCACCTGCCCCCTTGTCTTGCTTCCATGAGGGCCTGAGAAAGGTACAATTGCAGGCAGCTCTCTTCTCTCTGTCTTGAGCCCATGCAGGACTAGATCTTGGTTCCTTGCAGGAAGTACCAGCACTAAAGTTTGGTGTCCAAAAATCAACAGTGCTAGCTCCAAAACAAAGTGATGACAACTTTACCAATTTAAAACATAGCATCTAGGTGTCCTACACATCTCCACTGACCACCCAGGTGGGAAAATTTTAGTCCAGGGGCAGGACCAGCGAGGGAGCAATTGGAAAACAATAGGAGTGGGCTATCAGGCAAACCCCCAAACCTGAGAATCTTCTGATGGCAGCTGAAGGATGAGAGGAATATGTGGGGTACATAGGTGGAAGCTCAGGTCTTTAAGCAAAGAAAATACAAAGGTAGCTCAAGGCCACTATGACCTGTGAGCCAAAGACCAGAGTCACAAAAAAAGCTTATTAAAATGCGAATTCTAGAGCTGTTGTGAGACTCTGGTGCTTCAGAGTGTTGGGACGGAGGACCAGAAAAAAGATTTTTAAACAAGCTCTCCCTAGAAATCCTTCCTACATAAAGAGGTTTGAGAATCACTGGAGACATCATAACAGATTTACTCCAAGAAGCAATTTATCTGCTGAGATAGACTCGCCATTTGGGTCAACTCAGGGCCCAAATTTTATAAATAATAAGAGCTTAGCAGCCATTTGCAGACAAGGGCTTCCCCAGGGGAGTTCGGCCTGAACTCAGCTTCCCGCACGATTCTGGGTTTATTCCTACCACCTAAGTCAACCACTATAGGGAAACCCTGGTTTCCTCTTTCCATCGTTGGACTGACATCTGCCCTGTCCAACCATAACTGCATATTTGGATACTTTATTTACATAAAACAGACCTAATTGAGAACCTGAGCAAGAATTTTCACATAAAAGACAGCCTCCCCTGTGCCTCTGGAACAAAAGTTAAGTTGCTACCTAAATCTGTGTCTCCTGGGCTGCAGTTCCTTTTGGAGGCAAATAAAAGCCTTTTATTATTTATTACAGTCTAAAATTTATTTTTTACATCCCCAACCGCTCCGGGTACTCGAGCTGACGGAAGAGAAACCCTGGCTAGGATCAAGAATATGACAAGCCCCAAGCAATCCTCTGGGATTTACATGCCTCTATGACCGGAAATGGAATCCTTTCTAAAGAAAAGTCCCAAACCCTCTCACGTCAGCAACCTTCTGCCCCAACCCCAGGGGCGGGGGCTCTGAGGCATGCCGGGAATTGTAGTCGGCTGCGCAGCCCCGCTCCTGCGCACTAGGCACTGCACCGAGTGAGCTGGAGGAGCTGTGGGCACCCAGGCGGTGAGTCCCGGAGCGTCCGGAGGGCGTGGCAGTCCCTGGGGCTCGGGGAGTGGGGCTCCCATCTCGTTTAGGCTGCGAGAGCTGGCCGCCCGCAGGCCTGACCGGGCGGCGGGCCGCTGTCCCTCTCTGGTCCTTGCCGCTGCTCCTTGCGACCCAGCCGGGCCTTCCCAGGGGGTCCTCCGGGGCTGGCGTTGCCCCTCCAGGAAGCGAGACATCTTCGTCCGCGAGTGCGCTGGGGCCGCGCCCTTGCCACCAGCATCCGATTTTAAAACGGCCTTTAGACATTTAGGGACTTGTCTCTAGGGACACCTTTCCCCTCGTGCCCTCTTTTCACGACGCCCGTTGCTTCTTTCCGAACGCCTCTTTATCCACGGGCCCTGTGAGGGCGCGTTCATTTGGGAGGGTTTGGGGAGAAGCCATTACCCTGAGGAGAAGTGAAGTTTTCATCCGGAAAAGCCAGTGGAGGGAAACCCGGAGGATCAGTTCTGTGGGAGACGTGAGGTAAGGTTTGGGTCAGTCAGGGGAGCGCTACCCAAAGGTGAGGCTGGAGCACATGGAAGGTGGGACCACGGCCTAGACCGGCAGGGTTCCAGGATGCCCTCCAGCGACCCTTAGGTGCCTAGACAGGGGAGCAGACGCTTTCTAGGAACGCGTTCTTCTAGTAGGTCTGTCTCTGAGCCAGACACACTGCTGTTCGCTTTCCATGCAATTGGATCCGCGAAAAATTTTATGAAGAGGACACTACAGAGAGAGGCAGTGGGTGTCATTTAGGAAACTAGTCCCGGGGTGAGATGGGAACAGAGTGTCGTTTGTTGATAAGTGGGCAGGAAAAGAGTCGTGAGCATTTTTTTCTCGGTCCCGTCCAGACGTCCAGAAAGAAGACTTAGGTAGGCGAGCTGTGTGGGCAAATGCAGAGAGAGAGGACCATGGCGCACAGGCAGGTACCAGCCTTCACACCTGCGGAGACGTGAATGTGTCCGCCTATTTGACCTCAGAGACTGCACTAAGAACATTTGGATGTTTGTAGACGTGGGCATAGCACGAGTCTGTGGTTTCTAACCTCATCACCATTTCCCTCTGGCATTTGCTGTGGGTCCTGGGACAGGCTATTCTGTCCTCCTAAGCCTCAAGCCTCAGCGCCCTCATCTGTAGTTAGGGCATACTACTAGTACCCACCTCCTAACATTGGGTGAGGGCTACATGAACTAATTAATATATGTAGGAGGCTTGTAACAGCACCTGGCTGGCAGCGTGCTGAACATGGTAACTGTCCTTCGTTATTAATGCAGGCCAGATTCATGGTGGCCTGGCCTGTGCAGTGTGTTTTTCTCATGAGAAAGCCACTTGGAATGCCATTGCAGGATGAGGATCACGGTGATGTTGGCTGACCTACACATACCTGGAGTGGAGAAGAATGGGGGATTGTTGAGTTGTTGCCTCTGCAGGGCATGGCTCTCGCTAAGATGCCGGTGATTGAAGGTGACTGAGGGTTACTCAAAGCTAGGTGAACTATCAGGGTTCTTCACCAGTATTGTAAGTATTGTTCCCCAGTATTTCTCTGTGGCTTACCTATATTCAGACACACAAGAAAATTGGTATTAGACTGGGAGTGGGATATAGGTCATCAGATTTATAGGAGTTAATTTAGGGGAAATGATTCTTATCTTTCGGTCCAAGGAATTCTAGAACAGAGCTGTCTGATAGAACTTCCTGAAACAGCGTCTACTGAGCACTTGAAATGTGCATAATATAAGAAACTGAATTTTTACATCTGAATAATTTAAATTTAAACTGCCCCGTAGTACTGTTGACTACCATACTGGAAAAAAAAAAACAGTTCCAGAGGGTCCATGGATGGTCTTGAAGATTTTGTGAACTTTTTGAAACTGGATTTATGTGTGTATTTTTCTAGGAAGTGAGTCCATGGCTTTCATCAGATTCTCAAAAGGACTGAAAAGATTACAATCTGCTACTTTAGGTCTTTGGTGAAAAGTAAGCAATTAAGGGAGGTAAGGATACCCTCTGGTAATCACTACTGTTTCTCCTTTCTCATTTGCCCTGTCCTCAGCTGTAGGTCCTCCACCCAAGAAATACACAAAGAAACAAATTGGAGTCTGAGACTTCAGGCCCAGATAAATTGGACACTGCTGGAAGTGGGCAATGGCTGTTGCCTTGGGTTGTGCAATCCAGGCCTCCTTGAATCAGGGCTCAGTGTTTCAAGAGTATGATACTGACTCTGAAGTCTTCCGTCAGCGCTTCAGGCAGTTCCAGTACAAAGAAGCCGCTGGGCCTCATGAAGCTTTCAACAAACTCTGGGAGCTTTGCTGTCAGTGGCTGAAACCAAAGATGCGTTCTAAAGAACAAATCTTGGAGCTGTTAGTGTTGGAGCAATTCCTAACAATTCTGCCTACAGAGATAGAGACCTGGGTGAGGGAACATTGCCCAGAGAATAGAGAAAGAGTTGTGTCACTGATAGAAGACTTACAGAGAGAACTTGAGATACCAGAGCCACAGGTGAGAAAAGAGTTTGGGATCTGAGTAATTAACCAAAAGGAGTGGCAGACACATCTGGTACCAGATTAGATATTTTGTCTTTTTGTACCAAGATTTCCCTGCAGTGATTTTCATATTTCCCTTTTGTTGACAATCGGTCAGTGATTGTCAACTATTAAATTATATTCCTCAAATATTTGGTAATGCCCCCTTTGCTATCCTAAGATGAAATTTTTTGAGAGTATAACCTACTTATATATAGGAAATCAAAACCATCAATATAAGTGCTATATGGTTTGTGGGCCAAAAGCAGACCAAGGCCTATTTTTATATAGCCCATCAGCTAATAATGGTTATTACTGTTTTTTTAACTTTTTAAAAATTATTTATTTATTTTTAAGGGAAGGGAGGGAGAAAGAGAGAAAAACATCAATGTGTGATTGCCTCTTGCACACCTCTTACTGGGGACCTGGTTAGCAACCCAAGCATGTGCCTTAGACTGGGAATCAAACCAGTGACCCTTTGGTTTGCAGGCTGGCACTCAATCCACTGAGCCACACCAGCCAGGGTTGGTTATTACCTTTTTAAACTGGTGTTTTTAAAAAAAGAATAGACAACAGACCAACACAACCCAAAAAACCTAAAATACTTACTCTCTGGCTATTTCCAAAAAGGTCTGCCAACTGTAAGTCAAGTAGAGTTTATAAGTAATATAAAAGAAAAGGAACATAGTATATTATGAACTAATAAGCATTTCATCATACACGTCTGGACTTGAGTATAGACACAGCTAGAACACGATGTGCAGTGTCGCTACATGGGTGTGCATATAATTTTCCAAAGTGGCAAACAACTCTTGGTGAATCTGAACAATTAGTTGTTTGGTCTTTCTTTGATTTCCAAAGTAATGCTTACCTAGAAAAGTCAAGCTAAGCTAAAATTTGCAAAAATGTGTTGTGATTATATGACCAACAAGGTGAGGCTTTTAACAGGTTCTTATTACCTATATGAATACTTGAGGGGGACACTCCAAATTTGGTAGGGACCTGGAGCCATTCTACACTGTTCATTATCTATACTCACATCTCTGCCCTCTAAATTCTGGTAGCCAGCACCTGCCGTAATATCCAAAACACCTCCTGGGGGTGGTGGCTCTGCCCTCTGTTCAGAAGCACTGATTAAAACCTATATGGGGTGTGTGATAGCTGAGCATAGGACAACATCTTTGGAGAAGGGACAAAATAGTTCTGCTTGGGCATTAGGGGCACTGGAGTCTTGTGTGCTGATGGTGCTCTGCAGTTAGCCTGCATGAACAGGACTCTTCCAAAGTTTGTTGTCTCCGGGATATGATGTGTTTGTGATTTCCCTTCCTTTCTGTGTCTCCTTGTTTGGCTTACTACATGAGATGTTGTCTTCATGTGGTCTAATACTGCATTGCCTGTATGGTAGGCACCAGCTTGAGCACTAGAGATGTGGCTATACCAAACTGGGATATGCTGTAAGTATGAAATGCACACCACATTCAGATTTGGGCTGAACAATAAAGTAGGCAAAATATTGTATTAATAATTATACTGGTTACATTATGACATTATGATATTTTTGATATACCGTATTTTGTTGTGTGTAATGCACACTTTTTTGCCCAAATTTTTGAGAGAAAAATAAGGATGTGCATTATACATGGGTAAAATGATTACATGCCATGGGTATAATAATCCCGGGTATAATGCATACAAAAAAAACATGGGTGTGCATTATACATGGCAACATACAGTATTGGGTTAAATAATGCATATTAGTAAGATTGGCTTTATCTATTTCTTTTACTTTTCATATGGAAAATTTAAAATGACTTGGGTGGCTTGTATTTTATTGCTACTGGGCACTGCTGGTCCAGATATTAGAGTGATTGGCTCTGGCATTTTCCCCAGATTGATAGGCAGGAAATGCTCTTAGAAGACCTGGCAGCAGTTGGAATGACAGACATACCACCAAACATCCATGTGGAGGTACCTGCACTCCAAGCGATGGGACCTGTCCCCGAGGCCCCAGTGGCAGAGGCGTGGATCCCACAGGCAGGGCTGCAGGAGCTGAGCTATGGCACTGCTGGGGAAGGCCAGCCCTTTCTGGACCCTGGTAAGGCAAAGGTTTTATTTCCTTTTCTTGATGTTTGTTTTGAGAGCTCAGGAGCTCTACAGGTTGGGGTTGGTTGAAAACATTGAATACCAGATGAAAACAGATCACTCTGATAGAGAGTAGAAGGAAACGTCTCTCTGTGAATAGCCAGCCACAAAGCACATTAGATTGCTCATGATTCAAAACTCCTTAAGCTAATGACCCTGCTGAAGAAGTCTGTATTTCTTTCTTCATTTTTTTGTGAAATACACACAATCTTAGACTAACTTTTTAACTATTTTTGCATATGCACTTCAGTGGTAATGAATATATTCATAATGTTGTGGAACCATCACTACCACCCATGTCCACATCTATTTTCATCTTGTAAAACTGAAACTTTACACCCATTTAAGCAACTGCCCATTTCCACCTCCCCCTCAACCCCTGAACCAGCATTCAGCTTTCTATGAATTTGACTATTCTATGTGCCTCATATAAATGGAATCATACACTGTTTGTCTTTTTGCAACTGGCTCATCTCACTTAGCATAATGTCCTCAAGTTTCATTCATGTTGTAGCATATGTCGGAATTTCTATTCTTTTAAAAGTTGAATAATATTCCATTGTGTATATATACTGTATTTCCTTTATCTACTTTTCATAAATATGTACTTGGGTTGCTTCTACATATTAGCTATCATGAATAATGCTTCTCTGAATATGGGTGTAAAAACATTTCTTTGAGACCCTGCCTTTACTTCTTTTGGGTATATAACCAGAAGTGGGACTGCTTGATCATATGGTCCTTCTATTTTTAATTTTTTGAGGAACCACCATACTGCTTTCCACTGTGGATGTACCATTTTATATTCTCACCAACAGTGAACAAACTTCCTAATTTCCCCACATTCTTACCAACACTAGTTATATTCTGGTGGGTTTTTTCTTTTTTGATAGTAGCATTACTAATGGGTATCAGGTGGTATCTCATTGTAGTTTTGATTTACATTTTATAAATAATTAGTGATGTTGAACATCATTTCATGTGATTGTTGATCATTTGTATATCTTCTTTCTTTTTCCAGTTTGATGAACACACTTTCTTTAGTTTTTATTGTTGTTGTTGTTTTTAATTTTTATTGAATTTGTTGGGGTGACATTGGTTGATAAAATTATATAGATTTCAAGTGTACAGTTCTATAATACATCATCTGTATATTGCATTTTATGTTTACCACCCAAAGTCAAGTCTCCTTCCATCACCATTTATCTACCCTTTTCCTTCCTAACAACCCCTACCTGCCCCCCTTCCCTCTTGTAATCACCATACTGTTTTCTGTGTCCATTGGTTTTTAGGGGATTTTTTGCTTAAGAATGTCTATTCAAGTCCTTTGCACATTTTTAATTGGGTTGTTTGGTTTTCTTCGTTGATTTTGAAAGTTCCCTCTATATTATGGATATTAATCCCTTGTTAGATACATGATTTTGTGAAAATGTTTTGCATTCTGTGGGTTGACTTTTTACTCTGTTAATACTGTCTTTTGAGGGACAGATGTTTTAATTTTCTATGAAATACTGTGTCTACTTTTTCTTATATTAACTATGTTTTCTTGTCATTGTCAAATCCAATGTTATTAAGCTTTTGCCCTATATTCTTCTAAAAGTATAAGAGATTTATACTTTTAGGTATTTGATTCATATTAAGTTAAGTTTTACATATAGTGTTATGTAAAGGTCCAACTTTATTTTTTTGTACATGCATATTCACTTTTCCAGCACTATTTCTTGAAAAAACTGTCTTTTCCCCATTGAATGATCTTGGTATCTTTGTTAAAAGTAATTTAACCATATATTTAAAGATTTCCTTCTGGGCTCTGTATTCTATTCCATTGGTCTGTATGTCTGTCTTTCTGCCAGTACCAAACTGTTTTCATTAATATAACTTTGTAGTAAATTTTTGAAATCAGGAAGTTTGAGTCCTCCAGCTTTGTTCTTTCTTTTCAAGATTGTTTTGTCTATTTGAGGCCCCTGGAGATTCCATATGAATTTTAAAATGGGGTTTTCTGTATCTGCAAAAAATGTCATTGGGATTTTGATAGAGATTACATTAACTCTCTAGATCACTTTGGGTAGTATTAACATATTTTTTGAAGGTCTTATTTATTTATTTTTAGAGAGTGGGGAAGGAAGGGAAAAAGAGAGGGAGAAAAATGTTGAATAGAGAGAGACACATTGATCAGTTGACTCTTGGAAGCGCCCTGACTGGGGCCTGAACCTGCAACCCAGGCATGTGCCCTGACCAGAAATTGAACCAGCAACCTTTTGCTTTGCAGGACTACACCCAACCAACTCAGCCACACCAGTCAGGGCAGTATTAACAGCTTAACAATATTAAGTCTTCTAATCCATGAACGTGGGATATATTTCTATTTATTTATACCTTCTTTAATTTCTTTTACCAATGTTTTATAATTTCTACTATATGTCTTTCACTTACTTGTTTTAGTTCCTAAGTGTTGTGTTCTTTTTGATACTGTTATAAATGAAATTGTTTTCACATTTTCCAGAATTTTTCATTGTTCATTGTTAGTGTATAGAAGTGGAACTGATTTTTGCATGTTCATTTTGTGCCCTGGTACTTTGTTGACTTCATTTATTTGTTATAACAGTTTTTTTTTTAATGGAATCTTTAGGTTTTCATTAGATCATATAATCTACTAATAGAGATCATTTTACTTATCCCTTTCCATTTTGAACGCCTTTTATTTCTTTTTCTTGCCTAATGGCTCTGGCTACAACTTTCTCTACTGGGTTGAATAGAAGTGGCCAAAGTGGGCATCCTTACCTCCTTCCTGACCTTAAAGGAAAAGCTTTCAGTCTTTCACAATATTATATTCATTTCAGGTGTACAACCCAGTGATTAGACATTATATAACTTACTAAGTGATCACCGTGAAAAACCTCATACTTATCTGACACCATACATAGTTATTACAATATTATTGACTATATTCCTTATGCTGTATTTTACATTCCTGTGACTATTCTGTAACAATCAATTTGTACTTCTTAATCCCTTCATCTTTTCACCAATCCCCCCACCACCCCTCCCATCTGGCAACCATCAAAATATTCTCTGTATCTATGATTCTGTTTCTGTTCTGTTTGTTGATTTTGTTTTTTAGATTCAGTTGTTGATTGATATATATTTATTGCCATTTTATTGTTCATATTTTGTATCTTTTTTTTTCTTCTTAAGACCTTTTAACATTTCATGTAATACTGATTTGGTAGTAATGAACTTTAGCTTTTTCTTTTCTGGGAAGCTCTTTATATGTTCTTCGGTTCTAAATGATAGCTTTGTAGGGAAGAGTAATCTTAGTTACAGATCCTTGCTATTCATTGCTTCAAATATTTCTTGCACCTCCCTTCTGGCATGCAAAGTTTCTGTTGAGAAATCAGCTCCCTTGTGTATAACTTGTTTTTTCTTGGTGGTTTTAAGATTCTCTCTTTGTCTTTAATCTTTTACATTTTAATTATGATGCATCTTGATGTAGGCTTCTTTGGTCTCATCTTGTTTGGGACTCTCTGTGCTTCCTGGATTTGTATATCTATTTCATTCACTAGGTTAGGGAAGTTTTCTGTCATTTTTTCAAATAGGTTTTCAATTTCTTGCTCTCTCTCTCCTCCGTCTGGCACCCCATGATGCCTGGGGCCAACAGGCACAAACTACGGAACAATCTGAAGATGGTTGCTACTTGTGCTGGGCTTGGAGGTGCCCAGGAGAGGCCAAGCTGTGAACCAAGGCTGGTTGCCACTAGTGTCGGGCCTGGGGCTGCTTAGCAAGAGATACACAGATGCCAGATGCTTCTCGTTTGAGAGATTTTAGGAAGCATGAGAAAAGAGAGGCCAGTTATATGGGAAAGCCACAGGAAAGGGCTTGGGTGGGGTGTGGTCTCAGGGAATCACCAGATGGAGTGAACAGTATGAGCCAGTTTGATGGAGACTCAGATATGTCACCTGCCTGCCAGCTCTGTGGGGAGAGGTTTCAGAAAAGGAACAATGGCTTCTGCCTGCACTTTTGGCTGACAGAAAGCTGCCTGACTTCCAGTTCTTACCCTGATGCCAGATGATTCAGTTTCTCCCCATATGTCCCTGGCTCTTTTTAAGCTGCTGCCCCAGCTTAAATCAGAGGAAGTGAGTCTGAGTAAGTCCTTTTGTGGGCCCTTTAAGAGAAAATGCCTGAGAATCCAGAAGCCCTGTGTCTTACTCTGCCACAATCCCTGCTGGTTTTTACAGCCAGTAATTATGAGGACTTCTCTTTCTGGCTCTGGAACCCTGGGCTTGGAGGCCGGGTGTGGGCCTGGGACTCCCTCACTTCTCAGGGGGGACCTCCATAACCAAGATATCCCTCCAGATTTTAAACGCCACCTGTTCATTTGGGACCAGCCTGTTCCTTGTCTCCACCCCTCCTACCAGTCTCGATGTGACTTCTTTAAGTCCCTAGTTGTAGGACTTCCATTCAGCTTGATTTCAGGTTATTTCTGAATGATGTTTGTTATGTAGTTTAGTTGTAATTTTGATGTGATTGTCGGAGGACTCGAGTATCACATTTACCTACATTGCCATCTTGGCCAGATGTCTGTATGTTCCTTTTAATATGCTGCTGAATTCAGTTTATTAGTATTTTGTTGAGGATTTTTGCATCAGGGTTCTTAAAGGATATTGTATAGATCTCTTTTCTTATCTTGTCTTTTTCTGGCTTTGGTATCATGGTAATGCTGAACCCACAGAATGAGTTAGGAAGTTTCTTCTGCTGATTTTTTTTTTTTTAAGTTTGAGAAGCATTGGTAATAGTTTTTCTCTAAATGTTTAATATAATACACCAGTGAAGCGATCAGGTCCAGGACTGTTCTGCATCAGATTTTTGATTACTGATTCAATCTCCTTACTAATTCTAGATCTATTCAGATGTTCTGTTTCTTTTGATTTAGTCTTGGTAGGTTTTGTGTTTCTAGTAATTCGCCTATTTCATCTGGTCATCCAATTTGTTGATGTATGACTTTTTATAGTATTTTCTTATAATTCTTTTTAGTTATGTGAAACCATTGGTAATATCCCCACTTTAACTTTGATTTTAATCACTTGTGCATTCTCTCTTTTTAGTCCATCTAGCTAAAGATTTGTCATCTTTGTTGATCATTTCAAAGAACCAACTTTTGGTTTTATTGATTTTCTCTATTGTTTTTCTAGTCTCTATTTTATCTCTGCTTAATCTTTATTGTTTCCTTCTTTCCGCCAGCTTTAGGTTTAATTTATTTCTTTTCTTAGTTCTGAACATTTGTTTTGGGATCTTTCTTGTTTATCGATGTAAGTATTTATATATAGGGTGGGACAAAATTAGGTTTACAGTTGTGAGTATGTGAAACACAGTGTTTATTCTTTTATTATTATTTATTTATTATTGTTATTTTCAATATAAGCAACTGTAAACCTCCTTCTGCCCCACCCTGTATAGTTATAAATTTCCCCTTTAGCACTGCATTTAGTGTGCCCCATAAGTTTGGCTATGTTGTGTTTTCATTTTCTTTTATCTGTAGTTATTTTCTAATTTCCCATGTGATTACTTCTTTGACCTATTGGTTGTTTAAAAGTTTGTTTTTTTTTTTCACTAATTTGTCAATTTACCCATTTTCTTTCTGTTAGTTTTCTAACTTCATCCTGTTGTGGTCTGAGTAAATACTTTGTATGATATCTGTCTTTTTAAAATCAATTGAGAATAATTTGTAACCTAACATATGGTCTATATCCTGGGTATATATTACAGATAGGGAGGGATTTCTATCGTTTTGCTCTTTGTTTTCTATATGCCTTATAGCTTTTTTGTCCCTTACTTTATGCATAATTGTCTTTGGGCTTAGTTGATTTTTCTGTAGTGTAATGCTTAAATTCCTTTGTCATTCATTTATTCTGTAGCTGCTTTCTTTGTGGTTTCCATGGGAATCCTGAATTTATGACACTCTAATTTGCATTTATAACATCTCAATTACAATAACATCCAGAAATTCCACTCTTTTAGCTCCATCCCCACTCCTTTCAGTTGTTGTTGTCACAAAATTACATCTTTATACATTACGTGCCCCAAAACATAAACTAATATTTTCTTTACTTTGAACATCTCTCTTTTATTAGAGCATCTTTGTTATTATAAATAAAATCAAGCTGGTTCTCACTCAGATCTACTGTGTGTATTAAACAAGGTTTACTCATGCATTAAATGAAGGTTTCAAATAACACTATGCTGGGAATTTGTTACGTGTTAAACACCAGTAGTTTTCTCTCAGTATATTTATTGACATAACAGTTATGAAATAATAAAATACAATAAAATTTTATAATGCTTTATTTATACCAATAGCTCCCACAGCACAGTTCTTCAAATGGAGCATAAAATTAATATATAGAAGGAATGTGTGATAGTGGCACATAAAAGATATGAAAGCTGTAAAATATAAAGCAATAATGTGTGCCACATCTAATTCCTTTGGCAAAATTATAGTACTAATGTATTAAATGTAGCTGTGGGAAAAATGAATTTTAATACTATGTAACCAGCCATGTGCATGGGGACAAAGCCAGTCTGGAGGAAAGAAAATGATAAACAGCCCAACAAGGGACTTGAACTGCTCTTTCACAGAGAACAGATAGAAGTTGCTGAAATAAGATGATTTGAAGGCTTCTCTGCCCAAATGAAAACAAATCCCTGAAGGGTGTACCCAAAGATGATTTCCTGGGAGCCTGGAAGGCTTTGGGGAATTTCCAAGATCTCAAAGAGAAACTGACCATCGCTGAGAACACAATTAGAAAAGAATCAATTCATAAGGGGTTAAAAGCAAAGCCACCCTAGAAAGGCACATTTAGGAAATGTCTGAATGAGGAATTAGTAAAAGTCTTAACATAGAAGAGGATGAATATTGAGAGAGAAGTCAGTCAAAGAGAAACATCATGGTTACACTTGGATCTAGATCTTTAGAATAACATTAGCTGTTATTAAACTAAATTATTTTAAGTGCATTCTCTTAAATTACATAGAAAAGAAAATGAGGAATTATAAGTTACCATAATACTAGTTTTTGGGCTAATAATTGTGTTTTTTTTTAAATGTATTAGTCAGTTAAATCATGTAGGAAACAAAAAAATGAAATTATGCATTATTGTTATAATAATGCTAGTTTTTATAATTACCCACCTGTTTACCTTTATTGAGATACTTATTTCTTCATATGGCTTCAAGTTACCGTCTAGTGCCCTTTTTATTTCATCTTGCAGGACTCCCGTGAGCATTTCTTTCAGGGCAGGTCTAGAGGTAATGAACACCCTCAGTTTTTGTTTATTTGGGAGTGTCTTAATTTCTCACTTTTGATGGACAGATTTGCTAGATATAGGATTCTTTATTGACAGTTTATTTCTTTTAGCACTTTGGATATGTCAGCCCACTGATTTCCGACTTTCAAAGTCTCTGATGCAAAATCAGTGTACTTTCTTTTTAAGGCTCCCTTGTATGTAATGAGTTTCTTTTCTCTGCTGCTTTCAAGACTCTTTTTGCCCTTGGGTTTTGAAAGCTTGATTATAACATATCTTGGTTTGGGTCTCTAAGTTCATCTTGGAATTTGTTGAACTAATTAAATGTTTATATTCATATTTTTCATCAAATGTGGGAAGTTTTCAGCCATTATATCTTCAAATGTTAGCTAGTAATATTTAATTATAAATCTTTCTGCATATGCATTTCCATTCCCCATGTTAATTCACTTTTCTTAGCAACAGTGCCAGGTACAAATATCTTGTATGTTGCCGAGAAGCACTACTGCTCTTGATTTTAATACTTTCTAAAGCACAGGAAAGACTCTAGTGTATTTGACAAGGGAGAAATAGAATGAATTTAAAAAGGAAAATATACCAATTAGGAGAAGAGAAAACTACCCCTTTCTCATCACTCATAAAGTAATATGTTTTTCAAAATAATGTAAGACTTATTATTCCATAATTTAAACATTAATTATAATTTTACTGCTTTTTTTAAAAAATGAGAACATCTTGGACGTATTACATGAAGCATATCCTATTGTAGGCTGAGTGGAAAGCATGGTTTGCTGGCAGAGTGGAGGAAGAAATTTAAAAGTAATGGAAGAACTCAGCTGATTTTATATTAAAGTTTGGAATATATTTGCTGTCAGCAAAGTGAAGTTATTGGTATATATTAAATGGAAATACACACACACACACACACACACACACACACTCACACTTCTTTATCCATTCATCCATCAATGGACACTTAAGTTGTTTCCATATCTTGGCTATTATAAATAATGTTGTACTGAACATTGGGGTACATGTATCTTTTCAAATTAGTTTTTTAATAATATTCAGATAAATAACCAGGAGAGGAAATGCTGGCCCATCTCTTTACTTTCAATCTATTTGTATCTTTTAATCTAAAGTGTGTCTCATGTAGATAGCTAATTGATACATTTTTTAATCCAGTTTGATAATCTCTGCCTTTTGATTGAGTTGTTTAATCCATACAGATAGACATTTAAACTTGTTTTGATGTAATGTTTTGAAATTTAAATTTCTGGCAAATTAACTTGCTAATGTTATTTTAATAATGCTAATATGTTAACATCATCCTGTATTTAGATCTCAAACCATCAGTGTCCAACCTACACTTTTCTGCATACCAATAGTCTTTGCCAGAGCTGAGTAAGGCAAGAAAGGGGTGTGGAAAGAGGATTTGAGCCACAGGGTCTCTTAATGAGAAAAGGGGTGGTATAATGTAAGGGGAGGAAGAGTACTAGAAACTTCCCCTGGTTGTCCTCAGATTTACAATGAGTAACACTGTTTGATGGATATTTGGGTTAATTTCAAGAGAATCCACTTCTAGACTTCAGCTGAAACAAACATAAAGACTGCTTTTACTGGTTGCCAACCCAGTCAATTTCCATTTTAATTTGAAATTCTCTACAGAAATTTTTCTAGTAAACAGTTTCGTAACTCTACTTTTATTTCTCTCTCTTCACTTGGTACCCAATAGTAGCATTTCTGTTTTAATGTGCCAAAATTTTATGAAGATTTACTTCATAGTTTGTCTCTAACCTAGTTAAATCTATTATCAAAGTAGATAAAGTGATTTAGTGCAGTGATTTCAGCACAGAATTGATTCCCTCTCCTTCCATAGAGAATAGCTTTGAATTGAGCACAAAAGGATGTTCTCTCATTTCTGTTTTGTTCTTATTTTTAAAAAAGACTCTTGTAAGAGATTCCAAATGAAGTAATAGTAATTGAGCTGAAAGCAGATATTAAATGGCCATATGTCCAAGATAAAAGCCTGAACTCTGGAAAAATCATTGATAACCCAAACAATTATGCTTCTCATCTTTCTAATGGCCAGGATATCCAATACCAAAGCTTGATATGAGCTTTCCACTGGAGCATAGAGAAGAGGCATGGGTGAAGGAACTACAAGATTCCAAAGAAATTAAACAATTACTTGAATCCAAGATAGGTAAGTAATAATTCATTGATACTAGAGAAGAAAGAAAAGAAAACTCCAACATTAATCAGGGTAAAGAGTTTTGGATTCTATTTAGGAATTTCTATATCCATACTGATGTTTTAATATAACTCTTCATCTTTCCTTGTGTTCTTTTCTCTGTGGGACACAGTGACATCTGCACTTTCTGTTTCTTCTTTCAGGTTTTGAGATTGGGATAGAAAATGAAGAAGATCTTTCAAAACAGAAAAAACTGGAAAATATGTACCCATTTCTTGTTACTTTAGAGGGGAATGCTCTCCATGGTCCCAGTTTACAAAAAGACTATGTACAGTTAGAAAATCAATGGGAAAAACCCCCAGAGGATTTACAGACAGATTTGACAAAACTTGTAGATCATCAGAATTCCTCAGGAGAGAAACCTGAGAGTTCTAGCTTAGAAGAACCTCTCACTAGCTTGGAAGAACCTCTCAACCCTAAAACCCATAAGAAAAAGAGTACAGGAGACAAACCTCACCGATGCTCTCAATGTGGAAAATGTTTTGCCCGGAAGTCACAACTTACAGGGCACCAGAGAATTCATTCAGGAGAGGAACCTCATAAATGCCCTGAATGTGGAAAAAGATTCCTTCGTAGTTCAGACCTTTATAGACACCAGAGACTTCATACAGGGGAGAGACCCTATGAATGCACTGTATGTAAAAAGCGATTCACTCGGCGCTCACACCTTATAGGGCACCAGAGAACCCATTCCGAAGAAGAGACATATAAATGCCTTGAGTGTGGGAAAAGCTTTTGTCATGGATCAAGTCTTAAAAGACATCTGAAAACTCATTCGGGTGAAAAACCTCATAGATGTCACAATTGTGGAAAAAGTTTTAGTAGACTGACAGCTCTTACTTTGCACCAGAGAACTCACACTGAAGAGAGACCTTTTAAATGTAATTATTGTGGGAAAAGCTTTAGACAGAGACCAAGTCTTGTTATTCATTTAAGAATTCATACAGGGGAGAAGCCATACAAATGTAGTCATTGTTCTAAGAGCTTCAGACAGAGAGCAGGCCTTATTATGCACCAAGTCACTCACTTTAGAGGACTTCTCTAAGAATTATTAAAGGAAACAGGTTGTGCAGAAAGTAGCACTAACAAAAAAAATCTTAACCTGAAGCAGTCTTGGAAGAATCTTTTTTGTTTGAGCTTATATGAACTGCTTTTTTCTTTTTTTCACTCTCTTAAAAACCAATTTTCCAAGGCATGTGAATTCTAGAGTGTCTCCCTACTCTTGCAGCTTCTTTAGATTTGATATATTCTATCTTTACAATTCTTATTTTTTAACAATGATGAAAATTTTTGTGTCCCAAGCCAACTGTAACGCATATAGTGTAGGGTCGATATAATGGATAACCATGTCTATTTGACATGTCTATTATAGCAGCACCATAATTAATCTGCTGTCGTTATTAAAGGTGGTTATATTAGTCTAAAGCTTTATTTGTATCCCAAGTGGCACGAAAGGAGATGGTGTATTTTGTCAAATAATAAAAATGTGTCAGGAACACATGGATAAAGAGGATTTCATTTGCCTTGTAAAAACTGTTATTTCCATTGAAAATTTTCATGTTTAAGGAATTAAGATTTTATCCTTGTGAATTTTGCAAAGTTTTCTAGTCCGCTTATTTGGCTGTCTGGGATGATGCTGCTTGGCGCTATTAATTTAATGATTTATTTATGTTGAAGAATCCATTCGACAGCTGAAGTCATAAAAGTAGAATCTATTTCAATGTAGATTACTAAAGAGCCAGTGTCCATTGCTTTTTACTCTCCTTTGGTATTCAATCATATGTTTCTCAGTGCTTTTTAAATTTTACTCATTCTTTAATTCGGTGTCTCCCTAAGCATGTGTTATAGAACTCTTAATTCTATAAGATATTCTGCAAATAAGTTTGGGAATCCCCTCCTGCTCTTTCTGTTTTCTAGGTTCACAGTGCACATCAATATACAAGAATCTCTGACAGGTCCTTCAGTAAAGGCAGAGAAAGCACCTCTGTTGTCTCAATGTTTTGCAGACCTGTTTGACCCCAGAACCCTTTCTCATGTACACCCAAGTAACAACCCACAGAACTAGTATTCTGCAAATATTCCTTGAAACACATTGCCTTTAATATATATTTCTATAGTTATCAATATAGTCTTATTGTCCCCAAACCTAGTTATCTTCATTCATTTGAAGGATGTTATGAAAAAATATTTACACATATATGTTTTTTATGTAATACACACATAAACGTACACACATATTTTAAGGAGGTGAGGGTCACTAATTCAGATACTTTATAGGTTGCTAAGTGATTCTCAACCTCTTTTTACTAATAATCACATACACACACATTGCTACTTATATAAATGTTCTCATATAATCGTAGTAATGACTCAAATTCCTGTAGCAAGGGAAGAACTCTCTTTGTCAATTAAAGCTGTTAATACATGAAAATATTTGTTCAGCCTAGTTCCTTGTTATAAAATAAATAAATAGGACATTCAAGTATTTTACCTTTATGAAGATATGAGTCATCCTTTCCTTAAACTAGAATTAGGGAAAGTATATGTTTTCTGTTCCACTGAAGTTCTTGGAAGTCATATTTAATATAAGTATTTTTGGGGTATCTATTTTGTGCCTAACTATTCCTGTTCTAGGCTTAATGGAAACTGGTAAAGAAACTAATTCATGGGTCAGGTTCATAAAGAGTTTATAATATCTCTAGTTAAGAGTTGGGAAACAAATGGAGAACAATGCAAGAGAGATTGTATTAAGTGCCAAATCATATCAAGTGCTAGAGCCAGGGTGTGTCTTTTAATTCTTGTCATCCCAGTCCATGTATGATGCTGCTGTAAGTGTGGGGTTAAAATTGAGATCCTAGTAGCAATAAAATGTAACATGGGAGGAGTCTGAATGTAGGGATGAAAAACACTGAATGTAATAGCTTCTCTTTTCTCTCTTGTGGAATTGCATTCCAACCAGGATAGTGCCTTAGAATGGATGTGCCCAACTGCTCTGTATCTATGCAATATTTTAATAAAGTGGAAATATATATGTTCTTTCTGCTTCAATCACATTAACTAATTTTTTGCACAACTTAGAGCTGCTTCCATGAGCAGTGGCAACAGGCACCACAATTGACTCCCGTCCCCTACCCTAACCTAGGCTGGAATCACTTTACTCTCTGCGACCATGGTGCTGGGTGTATGCATCATTTTTAGCATTTAATACAGTCAATTCTACCTAGTGGAGTTAGTTGCAGTCATAATATGAGTTACATCCTCCCCTTCATCTATATCATAAGCACACATGCCTGGATTTTACAGAGTAGAGAACATCCATTATTTATTTCTTTGTTACAGTGTGCTGTATATAATAATCATATATGATAATCATATATTCATATATATATATTTGTGATACTGAGTCAAAATATGTGAACTAGTTCTTGGAAAAAAATTATAAAACGTTGTGTGGGTGTGCCTAATTATACTTCAAAAAATAAGGGCAAAATACAGTACCTACCTCCTAAGTACTATGAAGGGCAAAAACAGTACCTGCCTTATATAATAAGTACTATGAAGATACAGTGAAATATATTTTGTTCAGGCTCTACACAGCGTAAGCGTAAGCTTTCAATAGAAATCCAGCATATAATGTATCTTAATTCTTTGTTTAAGTGATAAAAGCACTTAAAGCTATGGATTTTACTCTAAATATGGCTTTGGTCATATTCCATACTTTTTATATATAATGTTTGTATTAATCAGAATTCTCAAGAGAAACAGAAGCTTGCATATATATTTATATAGCTTTAAATATATGTAAGCTTCTGTTTCTCTTGGTATATATACTGTATATAGTATATATTTTATATATATGTATATATATATAAAGAGAAAGAGAATAGAAATTGATTCATGTGGTTATGAAAATTGAGAAATCCCATAATCTACCATTTTCAAGCTGGAGAAAAAGGAAAGCTGATATACTTCAGTCTTGAGTCTGAAGACCTGAGAACCAGGGGATCTGATGCTGTAACTCAGCCAAAGGCCTGAGACCTGCTGGGGTGGGGAGGGTATAAAACATGAAGTGAGTGAGGGAATTCACCCTTCCTCTGCCTTCTTGTTCTATTCTGGCTCTAATGGATTGGATGATGCTCCCCACCACTCACATTGGTGAGGGCAGATCTCTGTACTCAATCAAATGTTAATCTCTTCCAGAAACACCCTAAAAGACACACCCAGAAATATTTTACCAGCTATCTGGGCTTCTGTTAGCCCAGTCAAGTTGGTAAAGAGAATTAATCATCAGTGTTATTACTGATAACTTCAAAATTGTTTGTTATTACAGTTTTCACTAATACTTCCTGTTTTCCACTTAATTTTTGTTTTTACTGCACTGTGATTAGAAAATGAGGTCATTCTATTTCTGCTTTTAAAGTTCATTTAGTTTTTTAAAAGAAATTTGATAAAATTTGGTAAGTATCCTAAAGACCCTAGAAAATAAGGATTCTATTTGTAAGGCACACATTTAGAATATGTTGTTGGACCTCTCAATTAAGTTAATGCATTTTAGGAGTGTTCTTGATGCTTATGAAGGGGTAGTGACTCAGAATAGATTGCCTTGCTCCCCATCTGAATGCTTGCATTCTTGCATTCTCCATTCCCCTCTTAAGAGGTTTTTTTTTTTTACCCATTTTATGGATGTTTTATAGCAATTATTAATAGCTTCCCATCTATCAAAGCTGGTAGTAAAAGCAGGAGGCTAAAGGACCTAGGAGAGATCCAGCTTCTCCATATCAGGCTGAGAAAGCTCTCCCTTGGGATTCCATAGAAGTCTGTCCAGAAAGCAGAACATGCGATGGGCACTTTGAGATTTCTGTAGCAGTGGTCCTGAATCAGCTGGGATTGTTCCCTAGTGTGCTGAGGAGATTGTCTAGCTAAAGTTAAGGTAATCAGGGAACATACAGGTGAATCATCCCCCAAGAGGCTCACTGTCAGGTGAGGAAGGAGAGACATTATGCTCTGCCCTCATGGCACCTGCAGTCACCATGACATTCTGAAGAGAAACATTCTGGCACCTCTAGGAAACTGCATGATCTCTCTTCCTGAAATCCTATCTCATTTCTAGCTTAGTCATATGGGTTGAACATTCTAATAACCAAAGCTCACACTTAAATCTTGGACAGCCCTTGCTTTTTTTCTAGTCCCTTGTGACAGATACAGAATGGATGGGAAAGCAGCTCATCTTTCAGTCTCTCCTTGGTTTTAGTAGTCTGTTTACTCAGCACCTCAATTCTGGAATTGTAACTACTGGGATTGGGTGTGGTGGTCAATTCTTACCAAAATGATGTATAGGTTAGTCTCTATCCAGCATTGTGAGACAGGACTTCTCAGACATCTGGTGAGGCCTAATTTCACATTTTTAACAGTCCAAATGTATTAAAATATTATATATATATATATATATATTTCCTCTGAGTGAGTGAAACCCAACTCAATGTTCAAGAGACATGATACACTGATTTTCAATTTTATCTCCAAGGATTCCCTGGAAACCTGATGCATGTATTAGAGGACCACTTTACATTAAAAAGATATGTAACTACTGAGTAACTGAAGAATTCCTCTAGATTTTTATTTGAAATAAACAGTATGAGTAGTACATGTTGACTGTATGCAAACTCTTACTGCTGTACTCAGACTTTCTTTTCAACAGGGCAACAACATATCCCATACATGATCTTCCCTTTTCTGGATACTCCTACCACCATCTTCACCTTTCAATATGGCCTGCATTTTGAAGTGCTACATTCTGAAGGGAAGAATGTCCAGGATGAATAATATTCTATACTTCATGGCAGACACTATTATATCCCTTAAACTACTCACTTCTTCATACTCCCTTTCAAAACAAAATACCTTTTCTCTCCAGTCTTACCAAAGCCTCTGCTCTGACTCCTACATAAATTGACCCAGATTTCATGCTTCTAGAGAAGTGAAAAGCATGAAGTAGAGAAAGTGAACCACCTTTCTGAATGCAACTTTGGCATTATCTTCCAACTGCTCCAGCTGCTAAAGAACTATGGGAGTTGGATAAATCTCTCTCTTTTGTGTCCACAACACCTTGCATGAGGGTGATGAATTCAAACCCAGATGCTCTATCTACCTCAGCAGTCTTCAGGTTCCATGTGGACCTCTTTCTTGACACACTGAGTTCTGAACAATAGAATCCCCAAGCTTTGGAGTCTAGTTTCCCCTTAGAAGGCATAATCTTAACTTTCTCACGTCACTACATTCTGATTCACCTCTTTAAAGGCACCTGAGATTAAGAGCATCAACAAGCTCTTGGATTAATATAGCTCTACCATTGTCCTATACACAAGGAAAGAGGTCACCCATATTGGTAAAGGTGGGACTAAAAACTCAATTCTTCTATGTTTTGCCAGAAAGCCTCAGCACAAGTCATAGTAAAGGAGCATGTTGCTACAGGATTTAGCTGCCTAACATCTTTAGCATGGAGAAGTTGTTTTGCCCTCAAGAAAATGATCTGGGTTAAGACGCAGCATGAAGCTGACCTTGGCAAAAGTTTAAAAGTGAGATAAGTATGAGGATGTTCAGTGGAGTAAGTTTAAGGTTTATTGTGAGACGACAAGAATGTTAATACCTGAAACTGTTAGTGGTCAGGATGTTACTGAACTCAAGTGGTTCACCACTTGGTGTGTTGTATTTAAGAATGAGACTTGGTTGTTGTTAGGTAGTTTTATTTACTTGCAAACAAGCAAAGAAGACTGGGGATTCACATCCAAAGCTCTGTCTCTCCCAAGGGAGACTTAGCCATTGCTTATCTACACTATTTGGTTAACTACATGTTGATTTCTTTTTTGCAGTTGGCACAACTCATTCAGTTGTGATTCCAGTCAAGTTCATTGGTTGCAGCTTCATCTGCAAACTACTGGACTACATTTTAGCATTTAGCAAGAATAGTATGTAGTAAGAATCTTGTAAACCTTGAGACCCTTTTTCTGTCTAACAGAAGACAAGAAACACTAAGACAAAGACTCAAATAATGTTAGTGCCCAGTGTGTGGCAACAGTATAAAAAAATGAGAGCTACAGGTCCTGGCTGGGCAGAGAAGCCAATTGTACAATGGAGGTAACTGGGAGCCACATGGGGCCATGGGGTTGACTGCAATAGGATGCTGAGTGGTAGCAAAGATCCCAAGGGGTGGTGGGCTCTTTCTTTCCATCCCCTCCAGTCTGTAATCAGTAGGGTGGTCCACTACAGAAATCACATCATAGAGGGTTATATGGAGAAGAAAAGCAGGAAGGAGCAAAGCATTGATTACAAATGTCTTAATAATGAGAAAATGTGGCAGGAAAAAACATATTAAGACAAATGACCATGGAAATAATTGAATCCCAGCAGGATTCAATGAGGTCATTTTATTTCTGCTTTTAAAGTTCATTTAGTTTTTTAAAAGAAATTTGATAAAATTTGGTAAGTATCCTAAAGACCCTAGAAAATAAGGATTCTATTTGTAAGGCACACATTTAGAATATGTTGATGGACCTCTCAATTAAGTTAATGCCTTTTAGGAGTGTTCTTGATGCTTATGAAGGGGTAGTGACTCAGAATAGATTGCCTTGCTCCCCATCTGAATGCTTGCATTCTTGCATTCTCCATTCCCCTCTTAAGAGGTTTTTTTTTACCCATTTTATGGATGTTTTATAGCAATTATTAATAGATTAATTATTAATCTATTAATTATTAATAGATTAATAATTGCTATAGAACAGATTTTGTGTAACATTCTGTGACAGCAAATCTGTTCATATGCGGACTCAGACTGATCAAAAATCAAACTCTGCTTTAGCTCAGGTTTCTGCAGGTAGATTAGGTACCAGAAGTGGCTCCCTAGTGGTAACTCTAGTGTAGTTTCTGCCAGGCCAAACCCTACATGCCCAGAGAGTAATTGAGACACCACAAACATCAGTTATTCAGTTGCCACAAATACAAGTGTTCAGGTAGCAGCAATTGGAGAGACAGATGAATCTGGAGAATCAGAAGGTATATCAAATTTCATAAATGTACAGAAATCATTTCATGAAAACCCTTTATAAAAGTGTGCTGAATGAACTTTCCTCCAATGTGCCTGGTGTTTGAAGAAGAAAAATCAGAGAACCAGAAATGCCATCCAATACTGTTACCAAGGCAGTACCAATGAGCATATATCAGACTAGCACAGGGCAATACAGTATGTAATGTGTGCTGCAGTTTAATATGATGCAGTGCTAGTCTTCTCAAGTTATAGTAAAGGTACACAAGTTTTGACAAATTGTTCCATTTAAAAAATGTAACAATACCTAACATGTACAATATCATAAAATAAAAAGTGAATTTTTTTGTTAAAGTAAGAAATCTTTACTGATAGCTATCATACTTTTGAAAAATAAAAATTTTGTTACTGAATATAGATGAAAATTTGGGGTAAAAATAAACAAGAAACAGTTTTTCCTGCTTATATGTATATGTTTTTCTCTTGTAAAAGTTTAAAACTTATTTTTTGTTGTCTTTATGATACATGCAAACATGACAAGACACAAATGTCCGTATTTAATTCTTGTTGGCTTTTGTTACCAGAAATTATATATCATACTTACCAATCAAAAGAAGTACATTTGTTTTCTTTTTTAAAGGATTTTATTTATTTATTTATTTGTTTGTTTGTTTGTTTGTTTATTGAAGGGAGGGAGAAAGAGAGGGAGAGAAACATCAATGTGTGGTTGCCTCTCACACGCCCCCAGCTGGGGATCTGACCCACAACCCTAGCATGTGCCTTGACTGGGAATTGAACTGGTGACCCTCTTGTTGCAGGCTGGCACTCAATCCACTGAGCCGCACCAGCCAACGCTGTTTTTTAAATTATGTTTTAAATGTAATTCTGTTTTTACTGTTCTTTACTAAGTTAATTTGTGATATATTTTTTTCTAAAAGAAAATAGGAAAATGACTTTTTACCATAGCAATCAGACAGATCATTTTATTTAAAATATTAATCACCAAACAGAAACAGTCATGTTTACCCTTTCAAATGACTTACATGAATTATATTAAGGTTCAGAGTGAGACCAGAAACATAGATGACATTTGGAATAAAATTAGAGGTCAGTGTTTGACAACAAACACATAGATCTGACTGATAGAGTAATTTTAGGTTCAAGCATGAAACAACAAACTAGATCAAAGTTAAGGTTCAGTTTCAAACCGCAAGCACAAAGACAACCACTTGTTCCATGTGAGACAAAAACAGGAAATTTTCACTGGGAAAGGTTATGGTTCAGTGTGAGACAACACCGTTCATGAAGACTGCCAGAATAAGGCTGTTCTCAGTGTGAGAAACAATCCTGAATATGAATGTTGGAATGAAGTTAAGGTTCACTGGGCAACACAAGCAATTAGATGGCTGCTTGAATAAGATTATGTTTCAGTTTAACATAGCAAAATGATGAATGCCAGAATTAATTTACTCATCACTGTGAGACAAAAAACATGAAGCTGACTGCTGAATCAGGTTAGGTTTAGTGTACAGCAAGAAGAAAGAAAATCACTAGGGAAACACACGGTCTGTCCAAAAGGTATCCAGCCATGTAATATGAAAAATATAGACATTTATTAAAGAAGATACAAGAAACATTGTACATAGGAAAATGACGCCTCAATCCCCTTCAAAGTAGACACTTTGGGACCTCACACAGTTCTCCCAGTCACCATCAGCGGCCCCATTGTATTTTCCTGAATCTCATTAACAGTCTGAAATGTCTTCCCTTTCAAAGGTGATTTTAGTCTTGAGGAGAGCCAGAAGTTGCAGGGTGCCAAATATGGGATGTAGGCGGGCTGAGGTGCCTGGGTGATTTGATGTTGTGCCAAACAACTCTGCATAAGACATGATGTATGAGTGGACATGTTGTTGTGAAGAAGCTGCCAATCACCAGTTGCCCATAACTGTGCTTTCTGAATTATCTGAATAGTTCCTGCAGAGGAACTATTTTTGATGCAGACTCATTGCTCTACTCGCTCAGTCATTTTGAATGTGATGGCCACACAGTACACACATTCACTCAACCACAGCATCTACCACCCCCACTGACTAGTACAGTGAAGTTTTCATTGTTCACACATGTGCATCCCAGTCCACTCTCCTTGGCTGCAAGCTTACATCAATGTTGTGCAAACCATTCTTGTTATATTAACAATGGCTCTACTTTTTCTGGACAGACCTCATAAGTTTAAAATTCACTTTGACACAACAATCATAAACATGACTACTGGAATAAGGCAAAGGTTTAGAGTATGATAACAAGCTAGAAGATCACTGTAGGAATAGGATAATATTCTGTGTGGCACAATAACCCAGGAAATGACTGATGGATTATGGTTAAGAATAAGAGTGAGACAGTAGTGTGATGATGATCACTGGAATAAAGTTAAAGTTTAGTGTGAGGCAATAAGCATGATGATGACTGCTAGAATAAGATTAATGTTCAGTGTCAGATAATAACTATGAGGATGACCACTAGAGTAAGTTTCTTTCTCTGTATGACAACAAGCATTATGATGAATGCTGAAAATGGCAATTACTGAATGTGAGACAACACAAATATGACTACTTCAAATAATTACACTGCAGTGGGAGAACAAGAATGAAGATGACCGCTGCAATAAAGAAATATGATCTCACCCTTGCTGGTGTAGGTCAGTTGGTGGGAGCATCGTCCTATAACCAAAAAGTTGCAGGTTCAATTCCCAGTCAGGACGCATACCTAGGTTGTGGGTTTGATCCCTGATCTGGGCAAACATGATTTCTGGTCCAGGTGTATACATGAGACAACCGATCAATGCTTCTCTCTCATATCAGTGCTTCTCTCTCTCCCTTCTTCTTTCTCTAAAAGCAATTAAAATATGTCCACAAGTGAGGGGGGAAAAAGAAATATAGTTTCTACTATGGAGGAAGTCAGCAGTGCCCAGGAGTAACCTAGCCACTGCTGGTAATTCTTGCCTCTAGATACCCAGTGATGGGGTTTCAACACCATCTTTAATGATGGCACAGGGGACAAGAGAGGAGGGCTGCCCTCTGCCAATTTCCCCCACCTCACATTACATGGAGAGGCACTTACTTCTCTGGCTGGTCTTGACAGTTAGTTCTGGTTCCACTGTCTTCATGTTACAAGCCCATGGACTGATCAGTACTGGACTTTTTTCATCAACAGGTCCTGAAATAGATGACTGTTATACATGACGTGCACATATAATTATTTCTCCATGCTATGTGCTCTAGAAGGCTGACACTTATGCCCTCTGGCTGTAAGCTGTGTTTGGCCAGTGATAAGTAACTTCATGAAATCCAAGGTGGGAAGAGAGAGGAGGTGTTTACTCTTTACCACAACCCTAACTTTGTCAATATGTCTTTGACAGCAACTGTGTCCCTCCACAATTGAAGCTCCTGGTGAGTGACCCTTCCTCCATGAATCTATACTGACAGAAAGTAGATCAGTGGTTGTTTAGGTGTGGAAGTCAGGAAAGGATGGGAGAAAGAAATTACAAGGTGGCATGAGGAGACTTGAGAGTGCAATTACTCACTTAGTTGTACTGATGGTTTCAAGAGGGTATACATATGTTGAAACTTACTAAATAATACACTATAAATATGCACCATGTATTGTATGCCAATTATTGTATGTCTCAATAAAGATGTCTAAAAAATGAAGTGAACATTGTCTCTTATCTCATGTTATATACACAATATTTTTTAAAAGCTGGAGCAGGAAAGTTCTCTCTGTATGCAGATAGTTCCTGCAGCTCCATTTTCCTACTACCTGGCATTATGAGCCAGAAGCTACCATTTTAACCCATTAGAGGAAAACTAAAAATTATTTTGAAATGGACAACAGATCAAAATGCAAAACTAAAACTGTAATATTTCTAAAATAAAGCATAGAAGAAGTTTTAACTAGGACAGGCACAAATTTCTTACACAAAACCTAAAACCATGAACCACAAAGAAAATACTGATAAACTTCACCAAAATTTAAAATTTCCCACCTTCGAAATTTACATTGTGAAAATTAAAAGGCAAGCCATAGACTGGGAGGAAATATTTACAAAACATATATCCCACAGAGGCTTGGTATCTAAAATGTATAAAGACCTCTTAAAATTGTTGGGGAAAAGAAGAATTCCCACCCACTCTTTCCCTTCTTTGGTTCTTATAGCTGGACTAGTAATAAAATAATAAAATTATATTAACAGGAGGAAAATCAACTGAGTGCTTGAGCACAAGAAAATCACAATATGATTCTCAGAACACAAAATGAGGCTCAAATAAATGATGGAACCAGTAAGCTGTTTATACATTTTAGACAAACAATAGATTTGTGAAAAACTGACAGGGCCAAAAAAGTTAGTGCTCATTAGAAAGGAATCTAAGCAAGGTTTGAGTATTCATTAATGAGGAACTTAAACATAGACATTCTCAGGTGAAGGAAATATAAGAGAATCGGTTGCCAGCAGACCTATCCTTAAAGAATGGCTAAAGGAAATTCCCTAACCAGAAAGGAAATTATAACACAAGGAGCATGGGACTTCAGGAAGGAAGACAAACTGATGGAGTGGGTAAAAGTTGGGGTGAATATAATAGAATAATCATCTCCTTCCATGAGCTTTTAAGATCATGTTCTATGGTTAAAGCAAAAATTATAACATCATCTGATATGGGTTCGATGTACATTGAGGAAATACTTAAGCTATTCATACAGAGTGAGGCAAAAGTAGGTTTACAGTTGTGAGTACATGAAACACAGAGTTTATTCTTGTATTATTATTTATTAATTATTGTATTATTTTCCATATGAACAACTGCAAACCTACTTTTGCCCCTCTGTATTTAAAAGGGAGGACAAAGGGACCTAAATGGAAGTAAAGTTTCTCTACTTCACTCAAAGTGGTTTAAGTGCTGATACCAGTAAACTGTGATATGTATACATGTATATTACATTTTAAAAACTATAAAATAAATAATAAAACTATAGAATAATATAATGATAAAAAGCTATACAAAGAGCTATATTCAAAAACATTACAACTAGGTAAAAATGGGATTTCTAAAAAATGCTCAGGTATCCTATCAGAAGGTAAGAAAAATGAAAACAGAGCCCTGGCCAAGTGGCTCAGTTGGTTGGAGCACTGATTGGAACACCAAAGGTTATGGATTTGATCCCTGCTCAGGGCACGTACCTGGATTGCGGGTTTGATCCCAGTTGGGGTGTGTAGGTGCATAGGTGAGAGACTCACAACAATATCTCTCTCTCTCTCTCCCCTTCCTCTCTCTCTAAAATCAACAAACATATCCTCAGGTGAGGGGGAAAAAAGGAAAACAGAGTAATGAGAAACTAAATGAAAAAACAAGAACCAAGAAAATGGCTGACTTATGCTCTAACATATTAACAATTACTTTAAATGTAAAAATTTAAGAATAAAATTGAAACACAGAAATTGACAGAGTAGATTTTTAAAAAACATCATCATCTCTATGCTGCTTATAAGAACCTTACCTCAAATTTTTGTGTGATTTAAAAGTTTTTTAATCCTCATCCAAAGATATATTTACTGATTTTAGAGAGAAAGAAAGAGAGAGAGAAATATCAATCAGCTGCCTCCCATATTCAGCCCAACAGGGATCGAACCTGCAATTTTTGGTGCACAGAACAATGCTCCAACCAACTGAGCCACCAACCAGGGCATACATGATTTTAAAGATTTATTCACTTTAAGCATAGCTTCATGCTTCTTGTACAAAAACATGTTTTCTAAATACATTATAAAGTAAAATTACTTCATTTTATAATGAACATAAATATTAGTGAACTTGGAAGCAAAAGAGCCTGGAATTGTAAAGGCTCTTTCAGGCCATCTAGTTTAATGGTCTCATCATGGGAAATTTAAAGTAACAATAACCCTGACCAATAATCAATTTCCAAGTGGTGCTAAGACACTGAAAATGACAGGAGCCTCATTGATTCTCAAGGTTTTCCATTCATTAAGTTGGCCGAGGACAGTTTCAGCCAACTGGCTGAAATTCTAAACCACAAAATAGTACTGTAGTAGTTTAATCCCTCTCCAGTACAGTAGACCTTCAAGTATTTGAAGGAGACCTCATATATCCTTTATAAGTCTTTGTTCTCTAAACTACAAACATTTCAAACATTCATCGCAAGGCATGGATCCAGTTCTTTCATCACCCACATTGCCTTCCTCTGGAATCACTCCAGAAGGATACTCTTCTTAAAACCATAAAACAAATCTAAAAATATCTAAAAGAATTGAAAGCACAGGAGTTTGGTTTCTGACCACAATGGAATCAAACTAGAAATTAATAACAGAAATATAACAAGAAAATCTCCAAATGTGGAAAATAAGCAACATCCTTCTAATTATAGAATTTCTACATAATAACAAGCATGTGGAAACTCAAACTAAGAACACAGTATCATTTATAATTGCTTTAAAGAAAATGAATATTTAGGAATTATTTATTAAACATGTACAGAATCTGAATACAAAAAATTATACAAACTTTGATGAAATAAGTCAAAAACCTAAATAAAAAGACATAGTATATTCATGTATTGAAAAACTAAACATAGAAATGATGTCAGTTCTTTTCCAAATTATTTGTATTTCTAGAAAGAATTTCGTACCCATATACAAACTTATTTGTATTCTAAAATTAAACAGACAAACACAAGCCTTGGGGTAGCTAAAGAAATGTTGAAAAGCAAATAGTGGGAGGAATCATTCTACCCAATATTAATATATATAGCTTCAGTAATCAAGACAGTGTGGTATTGAAGAAAGGATGGGTGCGTAAGTCAATGCAACAGAATAGAGGACACCAAAATAGACCCTCGGAAACATGCTCAAATATGACAAAGATGAAAAAGAAATTCAAAGGAGGAAGGAAAGCCTTTACAACAAATTGTGCTCTGGCAATTGGACATTGATAGTCAAACATTGAACCTGGACTTTAACCTCTAAACCTTATACAAAAATTAACTAAAAATGGACCACAGACTGATGTAAAATTGATCTTTAAAATTTTTTAAAGAGAACATAGGAGAAACTCTAACGGTTCATAAAAGGTTCTTGTGTATGACACCAAAACCATGATCCATAAATAAATTGGACTTCATCAAAATTAAAAAACTTTTGCTCTGAGAAATCCCTTGTTAACAAAATGAAAAGACAAGCTACCGACTGAGAATGAAATATATGTAAACCACATATCTGACAAAGGACTCATATTTAGAATATATAAAGAACTAACAAAACTTAACAAAAACAGTTCAATTAGAAAATGACAAAAGACATTTCACTGAAGAGGATATAGAGATAGAAAATAAGCACGTACAAAGATTTTCACCATCATTGGCATTAGGGAAATACAAATTAAAACCACAATGAGATATCACTATATACCTGTCAGAATGGCTTTAAAAAAGAAACCACCGAATGCTGATGAAGATGCAGAGAAACTGGATACATTCACAAATTGCTGGTGGGAATGTAAAATGTTATAGCCACTCTGGAAAACAGTTTGTGAGAGTCTTAAAAAAATAACCCTGGCTGGTGTGGCTCAGTGGACTGAGCACTGGCTTACAAAACAAAGGGAACAAAGGGAGGCTGGTTCGATTCCCAGTCAGGACACATGCCTGGGTTGCAGGCCAGGTCCCCAGCAGAGAGCACACGAGAGGCAACCACACATTGGTGTTTCTCTCCCTCTCTCCCTCCCTTCTCCTCTCTCTAAATATAAATAAATAAAATCGTTAAAAAAACCATACAATCCAGCAAGCACACCCTTAGGCATTTATCCCATATCAATGGAAATTTTTGTTCACACAATAACTTATAAACGAATATTTACCGCAGCTTTATTCATATTAACCAAAAACTGGAAACAAGCCTGATGTCCTTCATGGGTGAATGGTACACAAACTATAGAACAACCATACCAAGGAATACTACTCAGCAATTAAAAGAAATGAATTATTAATATTTGACATTCCCAACAGCTTGGTTGACTCTCCAGAGAATGATGCTCAGTGAAAAAAGCCAATCCCAAAATGATACAGACTGTATGATTCTATTTATATAACGTTCTTGAAAAGACAAAACTATAGAAATAAA